TGGTCTAAAATCTGCAATTTCCTTGCCGATCCCCCCCAACAATTCCTGATTTGTGAATACAACCCTTTGTGTTTCAATGCAATGCTATTGTATACCGATACTTTTTAAACAAATGAGCGTATGTAACAGAAATAACACTCAAGTTTGCATAACTGCGCCACCAAAAAATGACGCGGTATATGGAAATGGTAAAGACAAAGAATTATCTATGCTCACTGAAAACTTCATGTTTTGAACATCTGCCAATGTATTACAGACATATGGAAGTGTATCTAATGTCTGATGATTTACATTTATTTCAAAACAGAATAGGCTGCTGCCCATATGTGCCCATGTGCTTAGAGTGGTAATTGTGTCTTCAGATTGGGGGAAGAAGGAATATACCATATTTACTTAAATCTAATGCGCCATTGAATCTTCAGCGCACCTCAATTTTTGAAACCTGGTAGCTGAAAAATGTTTTGCTGGCAAATTGTTATGCGCATTTATACAAGAATATACTATGATACAACATTGTGCTACAATGAAAATGTTTATTGCCATATACCATAGTAACATTGAGGGTATTTCAATTTTAGTTTTACATATTGAGTCTATTCGTTCTTAAGCTTCTCTTTCAGGAACTAAATTTGTGTGTGCGAATTCGCCCGAATGAAATTCGCCGGTTTGAATTCACCAGTTTCATTTCGCGTGTTTCATTTCGCCTGTTTTAATTTACCTGTTTGAATTCACCAGTTTTAATTCACTGGAATGAAATTAGAGGGAAAATTTCGAATTTTATCCCGAATGTAATACGCCATCAAATCAAAATTTTGGAAACGTTATTTTCCAGAAAAGGTGCGCATTAGATTCGAGTAACCAAAACTGGGTTTTTATATTTTAACTTTCTCTGTCATGTCACAGGTGCCGCATTACTGAGACCTTGTAAACCCCGACTCAATTCCATATGGACAGTGTGAGTATTAATCTTATGGGAACAGTTATTAGGTTGGGTTTGGCTATTCGTGCCAAAAATGGGGTACACTGATGGAGTTGCAGGCATAGGCAATGTAACTAACCCCCCATTATTGTAATTACGTTGGAGGTTTTTAAAATGTTATATGATGGAAAGCTAGTTTGAGGTTGGGGCCACTGTATTTTGTAAGATATGTATGTAGTGCCTTTCCGGGAAACATGTTTTAGCCTCTGAGTTAGACGCTGTCGGCTAGCCTTGTGTGGTCAGAGTCAGGAAGCTGTCAGTAAAATGATATATAGAAAGACTAACCCAGACCCACGTCTTTACAAATGCAATTAATACAACACTGCCTGTTATGTCACCTAACGAATAGCAATGTAATGGACCAGGTATAAATGCATCAAAGTACTAACAGATGTCACCTGGGTAACAGATATACTATAAGATCGAACTCCAGAATTTGGGCTGCTTGGTCACTCATTTCTTATTGTTCTATATGGGTACGCACATGGAGGGAGGGGATGTACGGAGCAATAGGAGGGTTCTGTAAATCTATAGGAGCTGATAGAGGAGGGGATGTATAGAGCAATAGGGGGTTCTGTAAATCTATAGGAGCTGATAGGAGGGGATGTATGGAGCAATAGGAGGGTTCTGTAAATCTATAGGAGCTGATAGAGGAGGAGATGTATGGAGCAATAGGAGGGTTCTGTAAATATATAGGAGCTGGTAGGAGGGGATGTATGGAGCAATAGGAGGGTTCTGTAAATCTATAGGAGCTGATAGATAGGAGGGGATGTATGGAGCAATAGGAGGGTTCTGTAAATCTATAGGAGCTGATAGGAGGGGATGTATGGAGCAATAGGAGGGTTCTGTAAATCTATAGGAGCTGATAGAGGAGGGGATGTATGGAGCAATAGGAGGGTTCTGTAAATCTATAGGAGCTGATAGAGGAGGAGATGTATGGAGCAATAGGAGGGTTCTGTAAATATATAGGAGCTGGTAGGAGGGGATGTATGGAGCAATAGGAGGGTTCTGTAAATCTATAGGAGCTGATAGAGGAGGGGATGTATGGAGCAATAGGAGGGTTCTGTAAATCTATAGGAGCTGATAGGAGGGGATGTATGGAGCAATAGGAGGGTTCTGTAAATCTATAGGAGCTGATAGGAGGGGATGTATGGAGCAATAGGAGGGTTCTGTAAATCTATAGGAGCTGATAGAGGAGGGGATGTATAGAGCAATAGGAGGGTTTTGTAAATCTATAGGAGCTGATAGGAGGGGATGTATGGAGCAATAGGGGGTTCTGTAAATCTATAGGAGCTGATAGAGGAGGGGATGTATGGAGCAATAGGAGGGTTCTGTAAATCTATAGGAGCTGATAGGAGGGGATGTATGGAGCAATAGGAGGGTTCTGTAAATCTATAGGAGCTGATAGGAGGGGATGTATGGAGCAATAGGAGGGTTCTGTAAATATATAGGAGCTGGTAGGAGGGGATGTATGGAGCAATAGGAGGGTTCTGTAAATCTATAGGAGCTGATAGAGGAGGGGATGTATGGAGCAATAGGAGGGTTCTGTAAATATATAGGAACTGATAGGAGGGGATGTATGGAGCAATAGGAGGGTTCTGTAAATCTATAGGAGCTGATAGAGGAGGGGATGTATAGGAAACAATGGGTTTCTGTAAATCTATAGGAGCTGATAGGAGGGATGCCATGGGGCAATGGGAGGGTTTCTCAGCAAATCTATGGGCGATGGGATGTATGGAGCAATAGAGGAGGTTCTAGCAAATCTAGAGCTGATAGGAGGGATGTATGGGGCAATAGGAGGGTTCTGCTCTATAGGAGCTGATAGGAGGGATGTATAGGCAATAGGAGGGTTCTGTCAAATCTACTGGGAGCTGATAGGATGTATGGAGCAATAGGAGGGTTGTGTTAATCTATAGGAGCTGATAGGAGGGATGTATAGACGGGTTCTATCAAATCTAGGAGCTGATAGAGGAGGAATGTGTGGAGCAATAGGAGGGTTCTGTAAATCTATAGGAGCTGATAGGAGGGGATGTATGGAGCAATAGGAGGGTTCTGGCAAATCTATAGGAGCTGATAGGAGGGATGTATAGAGCAATAGGAGGGTTGTGTAAATCTAGGAGCTGATAGGAGGGGATGTATGGAGCAATAGGAGGGTTCTGTAAATCTATAGGAGCTGATAGAGGAGGGGATGTATGGAGCAATAGGAGGGTTCTGTAAATCTATAGGAGCTGATAGGAGGGGATGTATGGAGCAATAGGAGGGTTCTGTAAATCTATAGGAGCTGATAGGAGGGGATGTATGGAGCAATAGGAGGGTTCTGTAAATCTATAGGAGCTGATAGGAGGGGATGTACGGAGCAATAGGAGGGTTCTGTAAATCTATAGGAACTGATAGGAGGGGATATATGGAGCAATAGGAGGGTTTGGCCATGCATTGCTTCCTGCAGATACTCATTCTGAGAGTTCCTCTTTTCTCTGGCTGATGCTGATCTTGAAGTATAACCCCAGCCCCTCGTCAAACTTGTGAGGTGTGAGTGTAATAGTTTCCTCTTCCTGGTCCTGTTTTCACACAGTTTCTGTGCTCGAAGGCATTTGTCCCTTCTATACGATACGTGACCTGGATAATGACAGACACATAGATGGACCCAGCTCCTGAGCAGGTAAACAGAACTAACAGAGACTACAGACAGACCGAGAACAGGACACACATTTACTAACACACTGGCAGTCTCTTTCTGTACCACCATGTCTCTCTGTCCACTGACTGGCTTAGTATACTGTCTGTCTGTAGTGTTTCTTATTGTCATACAACTCTATCTATTGCTGTCGTATACTGCACTGTTTGTTTCTGTGTTATACTACACCGTCTATGTTATAATAAACTGTCTATATTATAATATACTGTCTGACTGTCTGTGTTATACTACACTGTCTGTGTTATACTACACTGTCTATGTTATAATATACTGTCTGATTGTCTGTGTTATACTACACTGTCTGTCTGTGTTATATTATACTGTCTGTCTATGTTATAATATACTGTCTGTTTGTGTTATACTACACTGTCTGGTTATGCTATATTATACTGTCTGACTGTTTGTGTTATACTACACTGTCTGTCTGTTATATTATACTGTTTGTGTTATACTATACTACTATCTGTCTATGTTATAATATACTGTCTGACTGAGTTATACTACACTGTCTGATTATGTTATAATATACGGTCTTTGTTATACTATACTGTCTGTTTGTGTTATACTACACTGTCCTGCCTTTATTATAATATACTGTTTGTGTTATACTATACTGTCTGCATTTGTTATAATATACTATCTATCTCTAAATTTTTCTATACTAAATATCTGTGCTATCTCATATCATCTTCTCAGTTTCTTTATGTTATGCTATACTGTCAGACTATTTTGTAGATTGCCTCTCTGTGTCATCAATTTTGTCTTGTTCTGCATTTTCTATTTTTTTTAAGGAAGCTGTGTCTGTGAATTCGTTTTTGTTCTGAGAAATTAAAACCTCAAACTTTATTCTGCCTTCCCAATCAAACTGACACTCTTCCATGTCCTCTGTACCCCAAATACAGCGGGTGTATGACAATCTTTCTGGATGAGGGACGACCACTGAGAGCTACCACGCATGATCCCACTGTGGACACAACCAAGACATGTAAGATCTTCTTTCTCCGATATTTAACTTGTGGTTCCATTTTCCTTCATTATACGCCACTGTCTGTACGTGTCTTTTTCTCTTAATTTTTATGCCTCTAAAACCAAACTAAGGGCCCTCTTTGCCAATACCACTTCCTTTGCTTGCTTCACACTCTTCTAAGTCGCTGTCTAGTTGACCTCTAAAATGGCAGTAGAAAACCAAAATTGCTCTCCGCCAATATGTCTGCCTTCTGTCTCCTCTACCACGTTTTTAAATTTGATACCCACGTGCCATTCTACACCTTCTCATCTCATTGTCTCGGTCCTCCAGTCACGTCCTTCATTTCTTCTCATTCCAGCATGGGTTGTATAAAATCAAAGAATTCTACAGATCTGCCAGCGAAGACCTGGGATCCAAATCCTACAACGGATCGCCACCCTGTCTACGTTAGAGACCCCACATCCATTAACTTTACCGTAAGTACATAGCGCGTACAAATAGTGAAGGAGAACTCGGGCACTTTTGATTTCACTCATTCGGATTTTGCAAGAATTTTCATTTTTCGAGCAGTAGTTCAACGAGTCACTCTAGAAATGGCTTCCCACTTAAAGCAATATTCTGTATCTCTTGTTGTCACTGGTGTTATTTACTTTTTCATTGTTATCAGCTGAGCTTGATTTTATAAATCCAAATTTACCAACATGTAGTTCAATAAAATTTCCCAAATGTGAAGCAATATTTTTTTCAGAGGATTATGTAAAACAGGGATCCAACCACGTCTTTGGACTTCCTTAATTCTTGATTGAGTTCCTTAATTCTCTGCTAGTAATAAGCTTGCAAAGCATTATGGGAGCTGTAGTCGCAATATACATTTAGGCTGTAGTTCAACCTTATTGTTTTCGGTGGTATTATCTACAAATCATACTGTCTACAATAGACGTTACGGAGTATTATATATAAAGTATTAGAAGGAATTATGTGCTTATATGAAGTAGACGTAAAATTTATAGTTATATGGAGGGAGGGGTATTTGGAGCTGTTGATTAAGTTTTAGGGAGGGTGATATGGTGTAAAAGGAGGAATTACAAGGATTTAAAGAGACACTTCACTACCCAAATACAAAATAAATAAATATTGATGTTTAATAGATATACCCCAAATGAAAACTTGCATGCATTTAATGATGCATTTTTTTTCATTGGAGTTATATCTAAAAATAGCGTGCAAAAGCTTCAGTTCTATTGTCAACTGCCTTTGCAAACCCTCCCCTTCTAACCCCGCCCAGACGTTCTGTGGCTGCCCAATCACAGACTTTCCAATGTAGCTCAATGAGAAAGGCAGGAGATGTGGGCAATTGCTGCCTCTTGACTTTAGCTCTATGAGCTAACCAAAGCAGGAGGTAGGAGGACCGGTTGTCTGCTTGACAACCAGGGGGGTGTAACAAGGTTAATTTAGAAAAGTGCCAATTTCTATTGAAATCTGCACTTTTTGCAGAACGGGAAAAAAAAAGAGAACACACCCATCACACATAAAGATTTTCAGCGAGCAGTGGTCTGAAGTATCGAATTTGCCTTGACATTCAAAAAATTGTCAGGAATGTAAAGATTTTAGATTTAGGGACAATATAGTCAAATGGAAAACAAATTCTTTCACTTTGAATTCAGTTTGATTTCTTGACAATTCTTACTTTATTGAATAACCTGGATACATGTCATTGAGTCCACACAGTGAGAATTTGCTATCATTCATTACTTTTATTTTAATAGCTGACATTTTTAGCCTATCATTCTGAGAGTTAGGTATAAATTGGGTTTAAATTACAGATGGTTACATATTTTACAAGTAAAATAGTCTTTGCTAAAATTATTTTTCAGAATAAACCAGAGATTCCAACTTCGAACATCAATACAGGTAATTGTAGAGAAAGCAATTATATACTTTGTGTCTTTACCGTTTCTGTATTGTGTCCATCGGAAACCCCAGTACATCCACAAATCAGCCCCAGGAGTGTGTTTCGCAGTATGTGACATATAGGGCTAGCACCCTGAAGAATTGTTTTTAATGAAATCACGTGTATATTATTCCTCTTTTCTGTTTTCATAGAAGAATTTACTACTTATTAACTTTCAATGTTCAGCGATCATATGATCGAAACATTTTAGGAATGTGTTCCTACCGCCCCCCTCTTCCCCTCCCAATACACACAAACACATTTTTTGCTGTAGTATTTCCTTAATCCTGGGCAGTAAATCAGGTTCAGAAAGTCCCTTTTCTTAACTGCGGTCTAAGAAATGGTTTCATATCACATTTTACCTTTGAAAAACTTACGAGGAATAGAAATCTTATTTATTTCATTAGCCATATACACATCCTGAGCATTCCTCAATTCCTTTACTTTGTTAGCCTTATACACATCCTGAGCATTCTTCAATTCCTTTACTGCGTTAGCCTTATACACATCCTGAGCATTCTTCAATTCCTTTACTGTGTTAGCCTTATACACATCCTGAGCATTCCTCAATTCCTTTACTTTGTTAGCCTTATACACATCCTGAGCATTCTTCAATTCCTTTACTGTGTTAGCCTTATACACATCCTGAGCATTCTTCAATTCCTTTACTGTGTTAGCCTTATACACATCCCGAGCATTCTTCAATTCCTTTACTGTGTTAGCCTTATACACATTGCAGCATTCTTCAATTCCTTTACTGTTAGCCTTATACACTTCCCGAGCATTCTTCAATTCCTTTACTGTGTTAGCCTTATACACATCCTGAGCATTCTTCAATTCCTTTACTGTGTTAGCCTTATACACATCCTGAGCATTCTTCAATTCCTTTACTGTGCTAGCCTTATACACATTGCAGTATTCTTCAATTCCTTTACTGTTAGCCTTATACACTTCCCGAGCATTCTTCAATTCCTTTACTGTGTTAGCCTTATACACATCCTGAGCATTCTTCAATTCCTTTACTGTGTTAGCCTTATACACATCCTGAGCATTCTTCAATTCCTTTACTGCGTTAGCCTTATACACATCCCCAGGATTCTTCAATTCCTTTACTTTATTAGCCTTATACACATCCCGAGCATTCTTCAATTCCTTTACTGTGCTAGCCGTATACACATTGCAGCATTCTTCAATTCCTTTACTGTGTTAGCCTTATACACATCCCGAGCATTCTTCAATTCCTTTACTGTGTTAGCCTTATACACATCCTGAGCAATCAATTCCTTTACTTTGTTAGCCTTATACACATCCTAAGCATTCTTCAATTCCTTTACTGTGTTAGCCTTATACACATCCCGAGCATTCTTCAATTCCTATACTGTGTTAACCTTATACACATCCCCAGCATTCTTCAATTCCTTTGCTGTGTTAGCCTAATACACATCCTGAGCATTCTTCAATTCCTTTACTGTGTTAGCCTCATACACATCCCGAGCATTATTCAATTCCTTTACTGTGTTAGCCTTATACACATCCCGAGCATTATTCAATTCCTTTACTGTGTTAGCCTTATACACATCCCCAGGATTCTTCAATTCCTTTACTGTGTTAACCTTATACACATCCCCAGCATTCTTCAATTCCTTTGCTGTGTTAGCCTTATACACATCCCGGGCATTCCAATTCCTTTACTGTGTTAGCCTTATACACATCCTAAGCATTCTTCAATTCCTTTACTGTGTTAGCCTTATACACATCCTGAGCATTCTTCAATTCCTTTACTGTGTTAGCCTTATACGCATCCTGAGCATTCTTCAATTCCTTTACTGTGTTAGCCTTATACGCATCCTGAGCATTCTTCAATTCCTTTACTGTGTTAGCCTTATACACATCCTGAGCATTCTTCAATTCCTTTACTGTGTTAGCCTTATACACATCCTGAGCATTCTTCAATTCCTTTACTGCGTTAGCCTTATACACATCCCCAGGATTCTTCAATTCCTTTACTTTGTTAGCCTTATACACATCCCGAGCATTCTTCAATTCCTTTACTGTGCTAGCCGTATACACATTGCAGCATTCTTCAATTCCTTTACTGTGTTAGCCTTATACACATCCCGAGCATTCTTCAATTCCTTTACTGTGTTAGCCTTATACACATCCTGAGCATTCAATTCCTTTACTTTGTTAGCCTTATACACATCCTAAGCATTCTTCAATTCCTTTACTGTGTTAGCCTTATACACATCCCGAGCATTCTTCAATTCCTATACTGTAACCTTATACACATCAGCATTCTTCAATTCCTTTGCTGTGGTAGCCTAATACGCATCCTGGGCTTTCGCTGTGGTAGCCTTACACATCCGAGCCTAGCCTTATACACATCCTGAGCATTCTTCAATTCCTTTACTGTGTTAGCCTTATACACATCCTGAGCATTCTTCAATTCCTTTACTGTGTTAGCCTTATACACATCCCGAGCATTCTTCAATTCCTTTACTGTGTTAGCCTTATACACATCCGAGCATTCTTCAATTCCTTTACTGTGTTAGCCTTATACACATCCTGAGCATTCTTCAATTCCTGTTAGCCTTATACACTTCGAGCATTCTTCAATTCCTTTACTGTGTTAGCCTTATACACATCCTGAGCATTCTTCAATTCCTTTACTGTGTTAGCCTTATACACATCCTGAGCATTCTTCAATTCCTTTACTGTGCTAGCCTTATACACATTGCAGTATTCTTCAATTCCTTTACTGTTAGCCTTATACACTTCCCGAGCATTCTTCAATTCCTTTACTGTGTTAGCCTTATACACATCCTGAGCATTCTTCAATTCCTTTACTGTGTTAGCCTTATACACATCCTGAGCATTCTTCAATTCCTTTACTGCGTTAGCCTTATACACATCCCCAGGATTCTTCAATTCCTTTACTTTGTTAGCCTTATACACATCCCGAGCATTCTTCAATTCCTTTACTGTGCTAGCCGTATACACATTGCAGCATTCTTCAATTCCTTTACTGTGTTAGCCTTATACACATCCCGAGCATTCTTCAATTCCTTTACTGTGTTAGCCTTATACACATCCTGAGCATTCAATTCCTTTACTTTGTTAGCCTTATACACATCCTAAGCATTCTTCAATTCCTTTACTGTGTTAGCCTTATACACATCCCGAGCATTCTTCAATTCCTATACTGTGTTAACCTTATACACATCCCCAGCATTCTTCAATTCCTTTGCTGTGTTAGCCTAATACACATCCTGAGCATTCTTCAATTCCTTTACTGTGTTAGCCTTATACACATCCCGAGCATTATTCAATTCCTTTACTGTGTTAGCCTTATACACATCCCGAGCATTATTCAATTCCTTTACTGTGTTAGCCTTATACACATCCCCAGGATTCTTCAATTCCTTTACTGTGTTAACCTTATACACATCCCCAGCATTCTTCAATTCCTTTGCTGTGTTAGCCTTATACACATCCCGAGCATTCTTCAATTCCTTTACTGTGTTACCTTATACACATCCCGAGCATTATTCAATTCCTTTACTGTGTTATCCTTATACACATCCGAAGCATTCTTCAATTCCTTTACTGTATTAGCCTTATACACATCCTGAGCATTATTCAATTCCTTTACTGTGTTAGCCTTATACACATCCCGAGCATTCTTCAATTAATTTACTGTGTTAGCCTTATACACATCCTGAGCATTCTTCAATTCCTTTACTGTATTAGCCTTTACTATTCATAGTTAAAACTTATTCATGTATCTACTACATTTCTTTAAAGCATTTTTTCACTATCTTCCATCCCCCAACTCATGCCCTGTTGTTTATAGTACTTCCCGTAAAAAAATGTTTTAAATATACTTCCTTATTTAAAAAAGCAGAGAATGCTATGTAATATATATAGCTGCTAAAAGGAAGGATACGGGTGACTTGATAAACGGAGGGGAGAACGCGGAAAGAATAGAATATCATAAATAGGGTTATTTACAAAAGACAATTTGACATTTAAGGTTAAGGTTAAAATAGCCAAACTAGAACAATTCTCTAAGTCTGCTATGCTTCCGGTCTGACTACTTTGGCCTTAAATGTGCAATTTATAGGCAGAGAGGGGGCAGTAATGAATGAGATGTGAATGGCTGGGTTGAATAATCAGTGTCCGGAAAATCTCACTGAAAATACTTTAGATATTATGGGAGACAAGGAAGTGTTTTATTTTTTTATTCTTCACTGATTATGGGAGTGTTAGCTAGTTCTGCTTTTTATTAGGCCCAGTATTGCCTTAAAGGAACCTTTTAGTGTTAGGAACACATCTTTGGATTCCTAACACTAATGTGTACCTCTGCCCCTGCGTGCCCTTCTCAGTGTTGTAAAGGTGCTGGCGTCATCCGACGGGGAGTCCTAATGTGCATTGGCTTGCAAGCACCATGCGCGTATTGGGCCTCACCCATACTAATGCATTGCCTCAATGCTTTGCTACAGTGTTTTCTCTGTTGCTGGACGTCCTCATGAAGAGCGTGAGAACGTCCAGGGTTGTTTCACAGAGTCAAACTCTGTGAATCTCCAGGAATCGCCTCTACAGGCAGTCTTAGTACTGTAATCAGTGTTTTATATTGCAGGACCAAAGGGGACAGGGACAGTGCACCCAGACCACTTCAATGACATGAAGTGGTCTGGGTACCTATAGTGTCCCTTTAATTTGTAATTTAAATAGGACTTTTAGAAATATATACGTTAAAACAACAACATTTTACAGGGGATTTTATTGTTATGTTTACTAATCCCCTGTATTGATCATATATGTGTTTGTAAGGTGTGAAAAATGTAATTAAGTGTAGAACTCCACACCGATTAATTCTGTAACTGGGGCGCCACCATCTTAGCTCGCCATCTGTCGTTGTTATACTCCATGGGACGTATTACATTTCATAATGTCTGTATTATGCTCCAGGATGTCCCAATAGAAGACTTCAGGGTCCAGTAAAGGAGAGGAAATTCTCTAGAAAGTCTGTAATTAACGTTAATGACAGTGTGGTAGATTTGGTTTGATTTAGAAGGGACTCTGTATTTTCACAGGAGAAGATGTTGTGGTGCTGGTGGCTTTGTACGATTATGAAGGTGTTCACCCGGGAGATCTGTCTTTTAAAAAAGGAGATGAATTCCACCTAATAGAGGAGTAAGTAACCCCTTTATCCCCTTCAAATTATTTGCTATATGCTCACTAAAAAAAAACCATCATTTTGCTCTATAGCTACAGAACGCATTCTGCGTATTCTGTATCCTCTAGTTTTTGCAATTAAAGGTAAGGAAGGGGATATAGACAGAAAAAAATGGGAAACTAGGGGGTAAAATGGTGGTAGATTGCAAAATAAATCATCAGCGGTTTTATACAAGAGGCTGTAAACATGTCCATAGAACACACTTAGAACAGCATCGTGTATCAGGGGAAAAAAGTGTAAAAAATATATAAAACAAAGGAAAATAGTCATGCAGACAGAGAATTAAGCAATGTGCAGGCATGGGAGGTAAAAAAATAATAATTCACATTTAGAGAGGTCTTTTGTAAGAGAGGCAGCAGAGAACAAACATTCAAATATGAGAGAGAAAAAAATCCCCAAATTAGCACACACTTCATGTTCAATGATCCCTTTTTAAAAATTCTCCTTTTATGGAATTCCCCTCATTCTTAAGCATTTTTGTTATTTTTCTTATTGTTTTTCTTGTTTTTTATTTTTTTTTAAACAAAATGTAATTTTTTTTATTTTTTTTTATCTTTTCCTTTTTGTTTGGTTCGGTATGCACCTGCCTAGCCTATGGCAGAATTAAAAAAAAAAAAAAAAACAATAAAATAAAATAATAATAAAAAAATAGTAATAAAAATATTAAATAAAAGAATAATAAAAACAATAATAAAATTATAGCATAATAAAAAAACTAAATACAAATAACATGGAATAGATATTTTAATGCACATAAATAATTGTTGAAAAAAATGCATTTACTAGATTTTGCATTTGCACATTAATCATCACAGCCACAGCTCATGGTCTGGGTTTTGGCCTTGAGGCGCAGGGATCCTGATGAAGATGCTGGTTCATTTTAAGGGAAATCTTCAGATATCCCTCACAATTAAAACTCAATTCAATCATCTTCTTTGGCACATATTTTACCCCCAAAGTATCTCAACAGGAGTGATGATGATCCAGGGTGTAAGCAAGATTAACACACTGTGCTTGCAGGTCCACCATGGTAACTGTCACATTCTTGTGGACTATCTCTCTCTTGTTATGGGTCCAGTTAATTTGGATTTCAGTAGTCTGCCTTCAACCTATAGGATGTTGTTTTAAATGTATAAAAACATATTTATCACTTTTCTTTCGCTGATATTTTAGATTCTTGGTTTTTCTTCTTCTAGGTCCGGAGAGTGGTGGAAAGCACGCTTGACGAGCACTGGAGAAGAAGGTTTTATCCCGAGTAATTATGTTGGACGAGTGGATTCTCTTGAGTCTGAAGAGTAAGTGTCACTTCACATCATCTGTCCAGCTTTGCCTCTGTTTCTGGTCATCCTCATTTTGTCAGGAAGAAGGATGTCATGGACCTCCGAACAATGTATGTTAGCTGTAAGACAGAATGTTGCAAAATCCTACGGAAGATGTCTGTCTTGATATCTAGTCTTTATTTTTTTGGTGATACGTCCCAAAGGTTCCAGCCACTTCTCTTTCAATCACAAAATGTAATGTGCCGATCCTTATTAGATAAATAATGTCAAATCTAATTTTTTATTCTTTCTCCTACAGTTGGTACTTTAAAGGTGTGGGTCGGAAAGAAGCAGAGAGACAGCTACTGTCTCCTGAAAATAGAAGTGGAGCCTTCATGATCCGAGACAGTGAAACGATGAAAGGTAAATCCTGCCTCTGTGCAAAGCATGAAATCCAGGGATTCACCAGGGTTCGAGGTTCACATCTCGAAAATAATGGAAATTAGGATTTTGAGCAATTCATGACTCTTGAGTGAATCCTGGATAACAACACTCAAGAGCTCAGTTTCACCTCTGGAAAGTCCTTTCTATCAAAACTGATCCATCATAGTCAAAGCCCTAAATACTTTGTACTTTGTTAGTCTCAGTTCTTTAAACCACAAATATGAAAAGAAGAACTCGCTATATAACATGAAACACACAACAGCATAAAAAAAATCCCATGTTGAATATTACTGGCTAAAGAACATGTTGAAGGGTTATTCAGTGATCTGAAGTGATTATGGTGCCTGCAGTCTGTATGTATGGATATCTTGTATAGACAAACGCTCTTGCCCATGTTAATCTAGAAAGGAATTGTTTTCCGTTTATGTTAATCTGGGGAGTTAGTTACTTGTAGAGTTTATTTGATAAAATGTAAATTGTTGCTAATGAAAATCCAAATTGCAAAATTTAGACTAAAACAGCTGATTTAGAAACATTATCCTACTCAGCTACAGGGTGGATTAAAACAGAGTAGGGTTTGAGGAGTCAGTGACTTTTTTTATTAATGAATTAATTTCAAGAATATTGCATACAATGAATGCTTAAAGGGATTCCCACAAACCGTTTTCCTGGCACTGCAGGTCCCCTCTCCCTCCCACCCCCATCCCAAGTTGCTGAAGGGGTTAAAACCCCTTCAGTGACTTACCTGTATCCAGCGCCGATGTCCTCTGGCGGTGGGTCAGGCTCCGCCTACACTCCTCCCCTGCCGACGTCAGGCGGCGGGGGAGACCTATTGCGCATGCACGGCGGGGGAGACCTAACGCGCATGCGCATTAGACCTCCCCTTAGGAAAGCATTGAATAATGCCTTCAATGCTTTCCTATGGGGATTTCCGTGATGCTGGAGGTCCTCACATAGCGTGAGGACGTCCAGTATCGTATAACACACTTTTCGTGTTCTATGAACACGGAAGTGTCCTCTAGTGGCTGTCTAGTAGACAGCCACTAGAGGAGGAGTTAACCCTGCAAGGTAAATATTGCAGTTTATGAAAACTGCAATAATTACACTTGCAGGGTTAAGGGTAGTGGGAGTTGGCACCCAGACCACTCCAATGGGCAGAAGTGGTCTGGGTGCCTGGAGTGTCCCTTTAACGTATGGAGATTTGTTTGACAAGATATGGAAGATTACATCTTTTAAATGAGCAGCATTTGCCGCCTCGCAAATTCAGGCTCTTTCGATTGCATTGTTCATAACATTAGCTAATCTTTGAGGCTTTAGTGCTCAAAAGGCGGTGCATTTGGTAGGGTGCAATTGGCACTGATTCATTTTTCTGTGGATTTTCTGTACCCCAGAAACGTCAGTTTTGCTTGTTGACGAATCTAATAACATAAAAATGAGCTTTATCAGACATCATGAGTTGAGGAATAAATTCATTGTTTTCTATGGCTCATTCCTTGTGAAATTACTTATGATAAATCTCCCAGGACTCAGTTATAATATGTACCTGCAACAAAACCATTGAACTACTAACAAATAAGTTACTTGTCAAATCCCATCTGAATTTTGACCCACCCTGTATAATCATGGCCTCCGTTTTGCAATTCTTCTTTTTTTTTTTTTTTTAATTCACTTTTTTTATTGAACTAATTTAACTAAATGACAATATTGAAGGAAGAATATATAAAGAGATGAAAGCAGGCATAATACATTTCACAGCATCATATAAAACCGCTTACGTTGTGTTGTTTCTGCTGAAAATTCTGAAATATAACAATACCTATAACAATAATGAGCTACAACGCTACACTAGTCGATTTTGCAATTCTGATTTTAATTCAACACAGTTTGGAGTTTAGTGAACATGTGTTTTTTTTTTTTTTTGTCTTCTCCTCAACTTTTTCGTTTCCTTCCAGGATGCTATTCCCTCTCTGTTAGGGAAAGTAATGTAGTGAAACATTATAAGATTCGAACTTTGGATGACGGTGGGTTCTACATCACCACTCGCATCACGTTTCGCTCCCTTCAAGAGCTGGTCAACCACTATAAGAGTAAGCTCCTTTGGGACCATGTGGATGTCTGCAAATTAAATGAATATGGGGCAGTACATATCTTTAAACTCAATTGTCTCATTTCTAAATCAAGGGCAGATGGACGGACTGTGCCACTGTCTCACAGTGCCTTGTCAGACCGCGAGGCCCGAGAAACCGTGGCAAAAAGATGCTTGGGAGATCCCACGTGAGTCGCTATCCTTGGAAAAGAAGCTCGGAGCCGGGCAGTTTGGAGATGTTTGGCTGGGTAATTAAACTCACCCTCTATTCAATTCCTATTTGCTGCCCTCTTCTTTTACCTAATTGTCTCAGCCATAGCAAACTCAAGGCATTGTCCCTCTCCTGTCCATTGTTGGTCATTACCTCTCCTACTGCTGATTCTGTAATGACCTTATTTTTTTTTTAACGGAGGATTAAGAAACCGTGTAAAAAAAACAATTGGAATTACCTACAAACATTAAAAAAATGAACAAAATGTGTTAGCTCCTGGGCTTAGCCACCTGCATTCCAGGTTCTGTTGGTGGAACAGGTGATAGATGGCCCAATTCATAATTAAACTCTTGTCTGGCTCGCCAATATATGGTCAGTTTTGGTCCTTGAAGGAAATGTAGAGTTAAAAGCTAAGAATCACACAACAAGGTCACACGGAATACAGGGATTAGATCAAAGGATCAAATAAGGACATACGATCAGGCCGTAGACAGTTGGCAAGGATAGGAGGCTGGGACTCCTTTATCAGACTGTAACGTGATCAAGGAGAAAACAGGACTGAATAACATGATTAGGCAAGACATAAGTGTTGACACAGCAGGACGCAAAATGACTAAGACAAAGCAGGACACAATGACAAAGCCCTGTGTGCAAGGAGGGGCTGGGTAATGTAATTACTGCGTAGGGTGCAGTTGTTGACAATACCCATTAGTCTGGCTGAAAAGACTGTCAACACCTGCACCCTCTAGTGGTTTCCATGCAGAGTACACCCAAAAAGAGAAAAAACAGAGGAGGAATATACTGTAAATATGTAAAAATTTAGGCAAAAGGGGAAGTAAATAGACCAGACGTGTTAGGCACATTAGTTCAATCAGCATATTATGCACATTAAACTTCCCGTTATAGTGATGCTATCAGTTCCTTTTCTGTGTAATACACTGTGCAGACTGTCTCAGTATCTTTTTTTTTTTTTTTTCACAACCAGTTTTATTCTCATTATCCTTCCAAATATTTCCCCCAGCCACATATGACGGGCACACTCAGGTTGCCGTGAAGACCATGAAGCCTGGCACTATGTCTGCTGGGGCTTTTCTCGAGGAGGCCAACCTGATGAAGACATTGCTGCATGATCGCCTGGTTCGCCTGCATGCGGTGGTAACCCACGGAGAGCCAATATATATCATTACTGAGTACATGCAGAAAGGCAGCCTGTTGGATTTCCTAAAGAGCGATGAAGGAAACCAACAGCCCCTGCACCAGCTCATCGATTTCTCTGCTCAGGTGAGATCCAGCATTAAGCCATGAGAATTGCTTATGTTCTAATTTTTGCTTCCTCCTGATCACAAATCCAATATAATCCCTGAATGTCAGGACCGCACATGAAGGGGTCCATCGGGTGACCCATGCTGTTAGGGCCAACCAATGGATATGGATTTTCAGGGGGCCTGGTCAGCGCTGGGCGCTTTAACAGTGCGACCGTGTCCCCTGTGATGATGTCAGACAGAGTTGGGAGGAAGTGACTGCCCTGGTCACTCCTCCCAGCTATCAGAGAGCCACGCGGGAGGAAGGAGGAGGGTGTCAGAGTGAGAACTCTGAATCCCATAAGACTGAGCCCCCTCTGGACCCCAGGGAAAGTCACCCTCCTGCAAAAGGTAGGAAACAGGAGGGTGACAAACATTTTGTGTCTGTGTGTGTTTCTGTATGTATGTGTGTGTTTCTGTATGTATGCGTCTGTATCTTACAGACATATACATACAGAGACACACACACATACATACACACACACAGACAGAGACGCACACATACATGCAGACTGTATGTGTGTGTGTGTATGTCTCTGTATGTATGTGTCTGTATGGACCAGTTTTGCACTGGGGTCCCATGGATTGTGTGTACGCCCCTGGTCAATTCTATACATATTTTACATCTGTTGTCAGTGTGCACAGCATGCTGGCAACAGACATAATAAACTTCTCCCTTGCAGGCAGAGCGCCTGCGAGGGGAAGCTCACTCTCACCTCCATACCTCCCACCCTCCATTGAGAAAAAATTAAAATCTTTGTCATCCCACTCCCTCCTCGCCTCACGTACACACGGCTCTGAGCCTGTGACATGGTCCAGTCACAGAATGCTCTATTCATCTATTCATAATGTGGTTGCTGGAGGGGGGAGCGCGATCTGGCGCTGGATAGGAGACTGAACGGTTTACCCCCTAAAGGTAAGCTAGTCCCAGGGACCTCCTGGCACCATAACAATTTCATTTCAGTTAAATTGTTATGTTGTATGGAGTGTTCCTTTAATTGCTGTCTGTAGAATACTCAGGGAACACAGTCGTTCACACTGCGGGGAGGACAACTGACCAAAATTAATGTTGCACCATATTAAAAGATCATTATTTATGAATTTTTATGCAGCTTAACTAATTTTCCCATGATCCTCATATGCAATAAAATTATGCCACATTGAATCCTCAAAGCTGGATGACAGATTGCCCCCTAAGTGGCATCTCTGTGTGACCACTGCTGTTGTTGGTTAGGCTGGACCCACACTTTGCTTTCGTTGTTTAGGGTGCACTTAACGTTACATTCTAATTGGCTTTTTTTCTGTATTCAACAGATTGCTGAAGGAATGTGGTACCTTGAGAAAAAAAACTATATTCATCGTGACTTACGAGCTGCAAATTGTCTTGTGTCTGAGTCCTTGGCATGCAAGATTGCAGATTTTGGATTAGCAAGAGTAATCGAGGACAGCGAGTATACTGCCAGGGAGGGTGAGTATAAGGTTTGGTTGGGGTACCAGCATGGCTGCAGCTACTCTTCCAGCTAGTCATATCAATGTTCACAATTCTAGAGCGTTCACTGTGTGACCAAGCATTATTCTACATTATTCTAAAATGGGATGATGAGAATTGTAGTGCAGCAGAAGCAGTAGCCCCACATCTGCTATAAATTGGCAGTTGTCTGGAATTCAAAGTAAATTTACATTTTATGCCAAAATAGCCACGGTGAAAAATTCTCCAAGTCAGTTATGTTGGGCTATTTTGGACTGAAATTTTAAAGTGGCTTTTAAGTTCTGACAATTCACATTTTAGTGAATTTCCCTGTACAAAATGTTTTATTTTTAAACTTTTTTTACCCGTGATGCCCGACCAGTTTTTAAGAGACTAAAGTGGGCCATATGTTTAACAAACATCAATTTTGCAAGGTCAGCCCGCACAGGCATCAACAATGAGAAATGTGGTACATGCGCACAACACCGAGCCAGTAACACAAAGCCAGGAGGTATCATACATCTCTGTTTATTAGGTGCCAAGTTCCCGATTAAATGGACATCTCCAGAAGCTGCCAATTATGGCTCGTTTACCATAAAGTCAGACGTTTGGTCATTTGGGATCCTTATGATGGAAATCATCACTTACGGGCGGACTCCTTATCCAGGTGAGACACAACAATGACGGACACAGGTTCAAGACATATTCAAATTCTAAAGAAATGGCAGACGTTGCATTCTAAACCAAGAATTAAGTTATATAACTAATGAATGTTCCACACTGTAAATTGCTTATTTTTTTCCTTATCCTCATCAAATAAATGTTTGTGGAGTTTATTTTTAAGTTTATATTTTTGCTAAACTTTTTTGGGTTAAATGTAATACTGTTTCCAGAAGCAGGAAGTAAATTTATCACATTTAGTGCATGTGGCAATTTGCGTTACTGGAAGCCACTGTAGTTTGCTCTGGTAAGACGAACCACTTCCTCATGCTTCTGAAACTGGTAGCACACATCAATTTCCCATAACGCGGAGTAATAACGAATACAAGCTAGCTAAAGACACTCGTAATACTAAGATTACATAAAAAGACCATTCTTAACAATATGAGAGTAACATTTTAGAAGATGACTATATTTCAATGTTTCTGCAGGGAGTCTTTTTGGACAGGTCTTCTTGGATTGGGGCAATTGTGGACATCCTCCACCAAACAATATATTTTCGTAGAGTACTAATGTTTTTAATCAATCATTTCTCTACTTATTCAGGTATGTCCAATCTGGAGGTAATCACAGCTCTGGAGCGTGGATATCGGATGCCGTGTCCTCAGAATTGCCCAAAGGAATTCTACAATGTAATGTTGCAGTGTTGGCAGCAAATCCCAGAGCAAAGACCAACATTTGAATATTTGCAGAGCATCCTTGAAGATTTCTTCACAGCCACTGAGAGCCAGTACCAACCCCAACCCTGAGCCTAAAACCAACATCCCATATGGACCATGTAAACGCCAATCCTGCTATTTCCATCTACTGTGACACTTTGAGATTCTAATAGAAACTTGTAGGTCTTACCATGACCTCTCTTCTGGTAGTTCTCCATGCCAAATCAGCTCCGTTAAACCAACATATCCTTTATTCTGCTTGAGTTTTTGTAACAGAAATCTGCACCTACGGGACACTTTCAGCATCAACACGATCTGTGATTTCCTGACACAGGGAACGATGTGCATCCACACCATGTTATTCCTAACTCCAAAGCAAATGGACAAAATCATGGCTGAGGATACTTCTAGCTTATATCATGCAAGCAGGAAAGAGACAGCGCAAAACGTGTGATCTCCACTGGACTCAGAACCATTCTTTCTACCCGCTAAAGCTCCCAAAAATTAATTAACTAATTATATGTGTCTGTCATGCCTAGAAAACCAGTAGTAGCTATAGCTTTAAGAGATCTTTTACATTGGTTTCTACTAGGACTAACGCAGTGTCTGCCATGAATCTCGTGGTCATGTGCTATATTTATTGTGTGACTAATGCACCGTGAGTTTCAAGGGAAAACGTTCAGTCTTGCAGATTTTGCTGAGCCATTAATTTCTGTTACATAATGCGGAAAGTGAACGTTGTATGAACACATATTATATTACTGGATTTGCACCAGAAAGCCTCTCACATGTTTAAATTTCAAGCCTGGGAAAGCCTCTCACTATACCTCTCCAACTTTTTTCTTTGGTTGCCTTAATGTTCATGTGCCGGTATACTAGAAAGTCCTAAATCTGTGATGTCATGTCAAACGTGGCTCATTGGTCTCTTGGAGGAAGGTGGACAATATGCTATATGTACTAATGACCGCACATTCAGAAATGGATTTGGCTTCCTGGGTTGTACTTCGACGTTATATTGCCGTGCCACAGACATCCACAATCTACAGACATTTTAAGAGACAAAAACCTGCACTCATACCATGCAGTATAGGTCATAAGACCATATATCTATACTGTAACCCACTCTAGTAACCAACATGTTCACTGTAGGCTCCAAAACCATTATATAATTATCCATCACTAGTGTAAGACTTTTTAGGCCATAATATTTATCATTTTTATGAACTTTGTTATATAGTTTTGTATTGTTACTGAATCTCTGCCTTTTCTCTTTCGCAAAAAATAAAATCTAAATTATCGACCTGTGTGATAACAGATGCCACATATGGTCACAAAGTGCAACAATGGTTGAAGATTTGGCTATAGGATCCAAATATTACTGTGCAATATAAGAAATGGGATAGATTAGGCAGCAAGTAGACAGTCAATTTTTAAATTTCATGTGTTGGAAGCCAGAAAAGTGGGCAAGCAAAAATACCTTAGTGACTAGGAAAAGGGACAAATAGTGATGGATAGACGACTGGGTCAGAACATCTCCTAAAAAGTCTTGTGAGGTGTTCCCAATATGGTGTGGCTGGTACCTACCAAAGTGGTGTAAGGAAGGACAACTGGTGAGCCAGTGCAAGGGTCATGGGTGCCCAAAGCTCTATAATGCACGTGGGGAGCAAAGGCTAGCCTGTCTGGTCCGAGCACACAGAAGAGCTACTGTAGCTCTAATTGATGAAAAACGTAATGCTGGCCATTGTAGAAAGGTGTCAGAACACACAGTGCATTGCAGTATGCTGCATATGGGGCTGCGTAGCCACAGACCGGTCAGAGTGCCCATGATGACCGCTATCCACTACCGAAAGTGTCTGCTGGGCTATGGAGCAATGAAAGAAGGTTGCCTGGACTGATGAATCACATTTTCTTTTTAGATCAGGTGGATGGAGAGGTGCATCGTTTACCTAGGGAAGAGATGGCAGCAGGATGCATTATGGAAAGAAAGCAGGTCAACGGAGGCAGTGTTATGCTGCTGGCTCCACCTCCATGGCTGAGATCATCAAACATGATGATCTCAGTCAATCCAATGCTTTCCCATCGGAAAAGGCAGTGTTTACATTACGTTAAAAAACCTACAGGAACATGCCATATACACCAGAACCACTGTATGTAGCTGTAGTGGTTCTGGTGACTAGTGTCCCTTTAATGTAAACATTGCAGCATTATTTATTTATTACTGCTATTTATAAAGCGCCAACAGATTCCGCAGCGCTGTACAATTAGTGGAGAAACGTACAATATACAAAGACAAATACAAGAGGTAGAGAGAGCCCTGCCCGTAAGCTGATATCTAGCCATTGGAGCACTTTTATGCAAAGTGCTTGGCTAGATGGCCCGTGAGCTTACAATCTAAAGGATACCATGGGGATTTGAGACAAGAGGTAGCAAGGGTGGTTTGGAGGTGATAGCTGAAAGAGTTAACAGAGAAGCAGCTATTGGTAAGATGTTAGGGGAATGAAGAGGTAATTGGGTGAGAATCTCAAACAGCATTAAAGGCAATAGAGACACTGCACCAAGACCACTTAAATTAGCTGTGATGGGTCTGGGTGCCTATAGTGTCCGTTTAAGCATTTAGGGAAGGGGATGCTCCAGATATAATATTAAAAGGATACAATAAGAAGGAAGAATGTTACCAATCCCCAAATGAATGCATTATAGAAGTAGTAGTGCTTCAGCAGGCAAATCCTCTCACGGCCTGGAAGAGGCTACACCAATGGAGCCTCTTGTTCTTGTCTTATCTCATAAACCTCTGTCCTGAAAGAGTTCTGACCCCCAGAGACAGTTCCACTTATTACACAGAATGAGTGTAACTGCTCCAAGTCAACGGCGCCACGATCACTTCTACCTCGCAGGCTCGCCGCCTAGGTATTCTCTTTGACTCCGACCTCTCCTTTACCCTTCATGTCCAGTCGATCTCCAAATCCTGCCCCTTCCATCCGCCCCTATTTAACACCAGATGCAGCTAAGGTGCTGGTCCATGCCATTGTTCTTTCTCGCCTTGACTACTGCAATCCCCTTCTCAGTGGTCTTACGTGTTCCCAGATTGCACCGCTGCAATCTATAATGATAGATAATCATTTTCCCCCTCAGTCAGTCCCTACATTGGCTTTTAGTTAGATGTAGGGCTCAATTTAAGATTCTGGTGCTTGCTTACAAGTCCCTACATAATGCTGCTCCAACCTACCTACCCTCCCCAATACATGTATATAAGTATGTCCCGTTGAGGCCCCTGTGCTCTGCTGAAGACCTACGTCTATCCTCTGTCCGTACTCCCACATCTGATGCTCGCCTCCAAGACTTCTCCAGGGCTGCACCTATTCTGTGGAAATCCCCTCCTTCTCTGTTAGACTTTCACCCAGTCTCCACTCCTTCAACAAATCTTTGAAAATACACTTCTTCAGGAAAGCATATCATTTAAACTGTTAGCTGGTTTTAATCTGTTAGTCCACCCATTGTACCTCGTTACGGAATTTGCTGGCGCTATATAAATAATAAAATAATGATAACAAGCTGGTTGCAGCCATAATGTTGCTGCTATCACTTTATACACAGAGAAGTTAAAGGACCACTCTAGGCACCCAGACCACTTCAGCTTAATGAAGTGGTCTGGGTGCCAGGTCCTTCTAGGGTTAACCCATTTTTTCATAATTATAGCAGTTTCAGAGAAACTGCTATAATTATGAATGGGTTAAGCCTTCCCCCTAATCCTCTAGTGGCTGTCTCATTGACAGCCACTAGAGGCGCTTGCGTGCTTCTCACTGTGAAAATCACAGTGAGAGCAACGTCCATATAAAGCATTAATGAATGATGCGCGCGCGTGCTTCGCTGCGGCTTGCTGAGGGAGGAGGAGAGCTCTCCGCCAGCGCTGGAAAAAGGTACGTTTTTACCCCTTTCCCCCTTCCAGAGCCGGGCGGGAGGGGGTCCCTGAGGGTGGGGGCACCCTCAGGGCACTATAGTGCCAGGAAAACGAGTATGTTTTCCTGGCACTATAGTGGTCCTTTAACAAATGGGCTACGTGCAGCAATCTCCTGTCATGTGCATGGCTGCGGCTTAGTATTCTCCATGCCTGGACAGTGCTGTCTTCCCAAGCTGTGAAACTGGCATGCACATGTTGCAAGCAGAAGTTTAAGGTTTGGTTTTTGGTTTAATGATAGAGGAACTACAATTTTTCCTTTGACGTCACTGACCTAGAAGTGAATTTTATATTTTTTACACATATTTGCAGTTACAAACCACTGTGGGTAGGTTAAGATGGATCAGCATACCTCCCAACACTGGGAGGTATAAACTCTGAACATAGGGTAGCTGGGCCTAAAAAGACCTGCCAATTAAACCACTTGATGCACAAAATTGGCAGCTCTGCCCAGGTCTCCCAATCTCCATATTTCATCGGGACAGTCTTGAGTTTAGGGTCCTGTCCAGCCCTTCGGGGTTTGTTTACTGGTGTCCTGCTTTTGGCAACCCCAGGGAACTGAAACAGTGCCTCCTGCATGGTCAGCCCTCAATGGACTGGCCTGCTTGCTTTGGTGGTATACAGGCGCCAGTAGCTGATTCACGGGACACATATTGGGAACTACACTGACCAGCGACAAAATGAAAACCACCTGCCTTATATTGTGTATGTTCCCCTCATGCTGCCAAAACAACTCTGATGCATCAAGGCATGGACTCCACAAGACCTAGGAATGTGTCCTGTGATTATCAGCAGATCCTGCAAGTTGCGAGGTAGATTCTCTATGGATCGGATTTGATGTTCCAGCACATCCCATGTCATGTTCCTCAAACTATTCTTGAACAGTTTTTGCAGTGCCGCAGGGTGTATTATCTTGCTAAAAGAGAACACTGCCATTATGGAGTACCATTGCCATGAAGAGGTGTACGTGGTCTGCAACAATCTCTAGGTAGGTGGTACGTGTCAAAGTAACATCCACATGAATGTCAGGACACAAGGTTTTCCAGCTGAACATCTTTCAGAGCATAACACTACCTCCGCCGGCCTACCTTCTTCCCATAGTGCATCCTGCTGCCTGGTCCAGTTCTGATGCTCATGTCCCCATTGAAGGTGTTTTCAGTGGTGGACAGGGGTTGTCATGGATACTTTGAACATTCTGCTGCGACACAGTCCTATACACAACAAACCGCAATGCACTGTTCTGAAACCTTTCTATCATGACCAGCGTTGTTTTTCAGCAATTTGAGCTACAGTATCTCTTCTGTGTAATCGGACTAGACGGACTAACCTTTACTACACGTGCATCACTGAGCCTTGGGCCTCAAATGAGACTGGGTTGCCCTTCCTTGCAATACTTTTCATAGATAATAACCATTACATACTGGGAACACACCACAAGACTTGCCTTCCTATAAAGGGATAGGACCCAAGAAGGGGTGTGTCAGTTTGGTGTTAAACTGACACTATAGTCATCAAAACAACTACAGCTTATTGTATTTGTTCTGGTGAGTAGAATCATTCCTTTCAGGTTTTTTGCAGTAACCACTGTATTTTCTGAGAAAATACAGTGTTTACATTACAGCCCCTGGATAACTCCACTGGCCACTCCTCATATGGCTACTAGAGGTGTTTCCTGGGGAAGTGCTGCACAGTAAGCAGCACTGGTATTCAGTGTCTCCACCCTCTCCATGGAGACACTTAACTTTCCTCATAGAGATTAATTGATTCAATTCATCTCTATGGGAAATGCTGTTTGGCCAGGGCTGTTTTTGACTTGTGCTGGCTCTGCCCCTGATCTGCCTCTTTAACAGTCTAGGTAAAAGTACTGTGATTGGCTCACATAATCACTTCTGATGATGTCAGGCAAGCAGACAGGTCAGAGGCAGAACCAGCAGCGGTAGACTTGAATACAAGTAAGATTTTACTATATTTAGGGAGGCAAGGAGGGTAGGGGCAGGGGGAAGAGGGATCTAGATGTTGGTTTTAACACTATAGGGTCAGGAATACATGTTTGTGTTCCTGATCCTATATTGTTCCTTTAATTCTCACCTGGGAGTGTTACAGCTTCACTGGGCAGCAATTCTCAGTGCAGAACATGAAAAGAGTTCTGATCTCAGCACAGAGCGAGCAGATCTAATGATGCTCTTGCAATCCAGTTGCTAGACTTCCAACCTCGGACAGCAGAACAGGAGCGAGAGATCCCAACAGACCTGCCAGATCCAGGACTGTTGGGATGTATGGATTAGGATATTCTTTGAATCATAACCTTTTGCAAAGATATTATGGTGTTTAGACAGACCTTCAAATAACTTTCATTCTAGACAGATCAGATGTTTTTTGTTTATTTTTTGGGGGGGATGGGACGGCGGGCATTTTTGGAAAAATGATTAACTTAAAATATTTTTATATATTTCCTAAAATATTATTAAAATTAAATATTATTCACAGAACAATGTACAATAAATATTAAAACATAATTATGTTATATAGTATATAAACTATACACTTAAGGAATGTATTTACTAAGAAGTGATTTGTGGTGAATTGAAAAGCAAAACTACAAAATAAGGGGCAAAAATAGTTATGTTTGGGGCAGGGGCGGCATGTTCTACCTTTCATATAACTGTTCTAGCTCCATCTCTGTTCTCAGGCCTCATCTCATACTCACTCTCACCATAAGAACAGCGACATTGTAATGCATTCCTCAGGTTCCCCCTAAATATATAGCATGCACATCGAGGTGTTTGGGATTCTCACTCAATTACCTTTATATTTTACCAATAGCTGCTTCTCTATGTTAACTCTTTTAGCCATCACCTTCAAATCTCCCCTGCTTCCTTTTGTCTCAAATCCCCACTGTATCCTTTAGATTGTAAGCTCATGGGCCATCTAGCTAAGCACTTTGTATAAATGAGCTTCAATGGCTAGTTATCAGCTTACGGGCAGGGCCCTCTCTACCTCTTGTATATGTCTGTGTATATTGTACGTACTCCAGTAATTGTACAGCGCTACGGAATCTGTTGGCGCTTTATAAATACCAGTAAAAAATAAATAAAATAAATTTCTGAATTAGTGCTGTGGAGCTTTGTTAGAAATTCAGACACACCAACAATATGGAGCTTTTTCTTGGTCCAAAAATAGGGACTGTGCCTCCTCAATAGAGACACTTGGGAGGTATGGTATACTAACTCAGTGACATCCCTCTTTATCTATATGTGTCTAATCAGAGTTTTTTATTCTATTCCGTTAGGATATTATAATTATTATTATCATGATGTGTATATGGTTTATAAGCTGTATTTGCTCTGATCATGTTATGTATGGTGGGACCATGGACCAGGGTGAGGAATGATCATGTTATTTATGGGGAGAGAGGACAGGGGGGACCATGGACCAAGGGGAGGAATGATCATGTTATGTATGGGGGGACAGGTCATGGGGGACCATGGATCAGAGTGGAAGGATAATCATATTATCTATGGGGGAAACAGGTCAGGGGGGGCATTGAGCAGGGTGAAGGATGATCAGGTTATCTATGGGGGAGACAGGTCGGGGCATTGACCAGGGGAAAGATGATCAGGTTACGGAAACACCGTCAGGAGGGTGGCCATTGACCAGAAGGAAGGATGATCATGTTATTTATGGGGAGACAGGTCGTGGGGCATTGACCAGGAGGAAGGATGATCTATCTATGGGGAGACAGGGTTGGGGGCTATTCACAGGGGAAGAATGATCATGTTATTTATGGGGAGACAAGTCGGGGCATTGAATCAGGAGGAAGGATGATCATGTTATCTATGGGGAGACAGGTTGGGGGGGGGCATTGACCAGGAGGGAGGATGTTATATGGAGGGGTGGGGGGAGACATGTCAGGGCTGCATTGACCAGGGGGAAGGATAATCATGTTATTTATGGGGAGACAGGTCGGGGGGAACCATGGAAAAGGGGTAGGAATGATTATGTTATGTATGGGGGTCAGGACAGGGAGACCATGGATCAGGGGTAGGAATGATCATGTGATTTCAGGAGGTCAGGACAGGGGAGAACCATGGATCAGGGGGAGGAATTATCATGTTATGTATGGTGGGACCATGGACCAGGGGGAGGAATGATCATGTTATTTATGGGGAGAGAGGACAGGGGGGACCATGGACCAAGGGGAGGAACGATCAGGTTATGTATGGGGAGAGAGGACAGGGGGGACCATGGATCAGGTTATCTATGGGGGAGTCACAGGTC